AAAAAAAAAAAAAAAAGTTTTTGTATTGACTCAACAGAATTGCAGGTTGTACAGATATGGAAACAAACATTGCCCCTGTTTTTCTGGCTTGCAATGTGAAGTTTATTTTGCTCCATTTAATAAAGACCACATTTTTCACATACTTGCAGCTTCTTTTATTTCAGTAACGGTTTCTGCACTTACCGAGGTATCTGTTGGTGACAACATTCCTGTAGTATTTACAGCCGCTACCCTTAATCTCCTCCCAGTAACCGTGATCTCCAGGTGTCTCATTGAGCTCCACTGTGTTTCTGTCATCAGTCGGGTGGGTTAGCTGCTCACCTGTGAAATGTCATGGCACAAGAGGATGCTTGTAGGTTTTTTTTTTCTTTTCACCAAATGATTTCAGGATACCTTCTTTGTGCATGTGAAATGGAATCTGGTAATGTAAGTTCGATGTGCAAGTCTCACATTGCTCTGAAGATTTAAAAAAAAAAAAATTAAAATTCTGATCTACTTCAAGTAATGTATAACCATGCAGTTAGAGAACTACAGCAGCACGCTCACCCTGTCCCAGTTTACCTTGGATAATAAACCAACATCACTGCTATTGAAACTACTTTCTAAAAGGAGTCCATATGAAACACCCAAAAGTTAAAGTGTTTAATATCCATATCTACCTGAATCCTGGATGTAGAGCTTTGAGAGGGCATGGTGAAACCCTCGGCCCGGTTTCCTCTTCAGGCAAGGTTTTGATGGTTGTGGCTGATCAACCTCCTCACTTGAAGGTTCTTCAACTGCCAGGAGGTTACCGGCGTTAAACATGATCTCCTCCTCCAGGGACCTGACACACATCTCAAATTCCTCCTCATCATTTTCTGCATTTCTAAAAAGAACATTGACAGCAAATGTAAAAATGTTCCAGTGTCTAAAATACACTTCATTTAGACAAGAAATACTGAGTTTACATCCATTGCACCCTTGGATAGAGTTTAGAAATACATCACCCTTGCTCCTCTAAAGGCCTCCTCACCTGAAGTCCACCCACAGCAGGCCTGCAGTTATCAGTCCGAGCCACTCACTGGCCTCCCAGTTCTTGGTCAGCATGACCGGCACCATGATGACCTCCCTGGAGTCTGCATAGTTCAGCTCTTTCTTACAGCTGCGGGACGCCTGGTAAGCTGGAGTCATGAAGGGACAAATCACCACAGCCTCCTCCACACCTGCAGCCATCCTGAAACACACACAGCTTTTGCTCAAAGAGACTGTATATTAATTGATCTAACTCCCAACATGTGAAAACATATGCATACATTAATTAATCTCATCAATGATCCTGATAGAGGTTTAAATACACTGCTCTCTACTCACGAGTCGTTTATGTTCCCTGTCACCCCTCCTTCGATATCCATCCACACTGGCAGACCATCATCTTTGAGGCGGTTGTATATCTTTTTCACAAGAGCCTGATCATCCCATTGGTAGGAGAGCATAATATGAGATGGCATCTTCCCTTCCTTTTCACTAAAAATGAGCGAGATAACAATCCTGTGTGAAGCGTTGGTGGGGCAGTTTTCACAGTTTGTGGACGTTTCTGAATAAAGTGATCCAGACAAAGGGAGACTCAGTATCTATGCTGCTTGTTTACTCAGGTATACAGCTCTGGTTACATTCGTTGCTTGGTTACAGTGCTTGCAAGCACCGATGGGAGAATGCATGATGGGTACTAAGTCCTGCAGGACCAACGGGATCACAATAATAATGAAGGTGCTCACAGAGCTGTGTGACCAAAGTAGGAATGTCAAATGAAATGCCTTATTTATTCAGAGGTGTGAAAACGTACTGGAAAGGTTTTTTTAAGGAGATATTTGATTTTTGTGGCCTATTCTTTCAGTTCTCCAGGATATTTTTGGATTGATTTAGAAAATGTTTTGACACAAATACTTGTTATAGAACTGAATCAATTCCATGTTTGGTGTTAGGTTGAGCTTAATATAATAGATAAAATCATTGTTATTTGTGATTCAATTGATTATTGTACTTGGGACATATATTTACAAATCAATATGGTAACATTCATCAATCACAATCATCTTATTTTTTATTTTTATATTAATAATATAATGATTTAAAATATTATAAGAACTTGCATACTGTACATTTCTGTATTAAACTCTAAAAAGGGTGTTTATGAAAGCCTGGACTTTGTATAGGATTCAAAGCTTAATTGTCAATATGCACTGTAAAATGAAATTCTTGGTTTGTTTTCCTCTCTGATTGCTGAAAATAAAACAGAAGGAAAAAATATAATACAAAATTCCATTTAATTGAACCAGTCCATCGTAAAACCTGCACTTTCACCTGATTAATTGTTTAATATATTTCTTTTTATTTTCAGAAAATATAGTATTGTGTGTCCTTTTGTTTTCCATAAAGCAAGTGAGTGATTGAGTACATTTTGCTCATAATACTTTTACAGTAAGGTTTTGATAACAGGACTTTTACTTGCAGTGGAGTATTTTCACAGTGTGGTATTAGTACTTTTACATAAGTAACAGCTCTGAACACTTCTTCCACTACTGTTTGAGCACATAATTGATCAGATAAACTTGATCTAACTCAAATTTGTGTTGTTTTGTTCTGTTGGTTTGTCTGAAAAGTGCCACTTTTGTACCAGTAGAGGGAGCCACCCAAACACACGGACACCTGCCAAGACTAAAACCTCATTAAACCGCTCCTTTATTTCATTTACTCATTTAACCACTTCACCAAAGGCACATCGCAGACTGTATTCGCTCAACTTGCTCACTAAAGCTCAACTTTTCTGCACACCTTGTGATCTTCAAGAGGTCAAACTTACTATGCCACCTGTCAGCACGCGGCACTGTGGGTAATCTCTCGGCCTAATTAAATCTTAAGCAATCAGGGCCACAGATGGAGCCGATCAGCGTGGGACGTGCCGCCTGCCAGGAGGTGTGTTCAGTGCGCACAGTTGGTACTCTGTGGCCACTCGGTCAGTGCCGTGATAATGTGAAGAAGCCCAGGGGATTTGTGCTACTGGATGTGTGGATTTCTACTCTACAAAATCACAAGCTGCTGAAATATTGTGATGGAGAATGATTGCTGGCTGTTTTCCTGCGCGCAAGAAAAAAAAGAAACGCACGGTGCGTTTATCTGCTTTTTGGGGGGAAAGGTGCTCTAAAATGTGATTGAGGAGTGTGACTTTGACATGGAAATATGTAGCCTGACTTCAACTCTCAAGCCAAGAGTTCAAAGTCATGTGTGAAGGAGGAATGGGTCGCAAAAATGCCGCAACTTGGCTCCTTCGGACGCTCGTCCTGTCGCTGCTTTGCGCGCAGTCGCTCGGGCAGGTGTTCAACCTGACGCTGTCCGTTAAAGAGGGGTTGCCTGCCAAAACCATCGTGGGAGATCTGGGAGCGGGGTTAAGCGGGCCAAGCACTGGATTCTTCATCTCAGAGAGCAGAGACTCTTATGTGTTCAGAGACTTGGAAATAGACGCAGACACGGGGATCATCTCAACTGCTGTGATCCTGGACAGAGAGAGCAGAGATAAGTATGAGTTTGTGGCCGCCACTCTTACAGGTGAGATGATAAAAGTGAAAATAGAGGTGAAAGATGTCAACGACCACTCACCTGTGTTTCCCTCTGAGGAGGTTGACTTGCAAATATCAGAACTGAGCCCCCCGGGGAGTCGATTTAAGCTTGAAGGTGCTAAAGATGAGGATGAGGGTGAGTTTGGTACCCAGGGGTACAGGATCACAGAGAGTGAGATGGGGGACTTATTCCACCTGGAGTATCGCAGTGGATCTGTGAACCTCCAAAGCCTGGATCTCATTCTCACCAGCAAACTAGACCGAGAAACACAGGACTTCTACGCCCTGACCATTGAGGCCTTCGATGGTGGAATCCCAGCCAGGACGGGGACTCTCCTGGTGAACATCCACGTCCTGGATGAGAACGACAACCCTCCTGTGTTCAACCAGACTGAATATCACGCCTGGCTGCCCGAGGATGCTCCGGTGCTGTCTGCTGTGTGTCAGGTGCACGCCACTGACCTCGACCTCGGCGACAATGGCCGAATCACTTACGAGATAAACAGGCGGCAGAGTGATCCAAATGAGGTTTTCTCCATCAACGAAACCAGTGGGGTGGTGTATCTCAGCAAGCCGCTTGATTACGAGACTCAGGCTTTTTACGAGTTGATCATCAGCGCGAGAGATAACGGGGCTCAGCCGGAGTACAGCAGCACTTTTTTGGGTGTGAGGTTGCTTAATATCAATGATAACAGTCCCACCATCAATGTGCTGTTTCTCAGTGAGACAGGAGATGCAGTGGTGTCAGAGGCAGCAGCGATTGGAGACTATGTTGCCCGGGTTTCAGTGTCAGACCCCGACTTTGTGGAGGAAAGGGTCACTGTAACGCTTGAGGGGGGCGATGGGAAGTTCAACCTGAAGCAGACAGATGATTTCCTATATGCTTTGTGTGTTAATGCAGAGCTAGACAGGGAAGAAAATGATCTGTATGAGTTGAAGGTGCAAGCATCAGATTTTGGGAGCCCACCCCTGAGCAGCGCGGTGGTCTTCCTTCTGAGGGTGACCGACACCAATGATTGCCAGCCAGTTTTTGAGAAGGATGCATACATCATTAACGTTTCCGAGGACGCTCCCCATGGGAGTTCCCTCATCCAGATGCAGGCCCGAGACGCAGATGAGGGCGTTAACTCGGACATCAGATACTCCATCCTCAAGTCCAACCAGGACAACCTGATCAGCATCGACCCGGAGTCGGGCCTGGTCACAACAGCTGCAGCTCTGGACAGAGAGACACAGATGGAGGTTTGGTTCCTGGTGGTGGCAGCTGATGGAGGGGAACCAGCTCTGTCATCCACGGCTACAGTCAC